GCGTTGGCCAAACTTTCACCAAGCGCTCGGATTTTTTATGCAGTTTCGAGCGTACGCCGAGCAAAAGTGAGACTCTATGTGGCAGACGTGTCATCGCTGGTTTCATTACCCAAGTTTGGGGTACTTTCTCCCTGAAGAAAATACCTAGGGGTTGTGCTCCTCCGCAAAGGACCGTGCGGACCCCAATAATTCTGCATATTCTCGCGAAAAGTCCGCGAGAATGCAGCCACTGAGCCGCAACCTATCCATAGAGAGACCGGGATAGTTCTCCGAGCACTGCTCAAAAAATTGGCCAACATTCTTCCAAATTTCTGCAAGCGTGCTGCAAGAAATCGGCGAACTATTTTTCCGGTGCCCGCTTGCAAAAAATCGCATGGCCGCCTGCCCCCGGGTATTATCTGAGTTGATCAACGAACCAGCGGGTCCCACTACCCACTGGATAAGGCTGGGTTCATACTGATCCTTAAGTTCCAACACAGTAATCGCACTGTGCTGGAACTGTTCCAGAACTTCGGCTCTCATATCATGTATGCAGAGTGTCCCAAAAGTACCTATAGGTCATTTAGAATTGTGACGACGGATCTGAGTGCAGCCTTTGCAGTCACGATTTTTTGAATATCCTATACACATTTTTGATCGTCTATACCTTTTGATTCATCTGGATTGGCTTCGGATTCGTGACCCAGTCAAGCTAAAAAATGATCGGAGAGCACGCGCGCGAGAGAGACGCAGACTGACTGCGTCGCGGGCGCGAGCGGCCTTAATAAGGTCACAAAAACCCGTCTTTTAGCCGCCAAACCACTTGAATAAGGTTATCTCTCTTCCAACAAAGTCTTTTGCATAACTTAAGTAATTATTTTGTAGAGCTAGCTTCGAAGCGAACCACTGATCGCTCGTCACTGTGGGGAAGCGTTACTAACAGGGTTGAGCGTAGGAGGCGTGCCCGACTGAGGGGTCGTATTCGGGGTAAAAGCAGAGGGGGTTATAATCAAGAGGCGAATTTGCTCAAAAAATTGAGGAAATACTACGATCGAGTAAAATGGAGAAGAAAAGCGCTCAACCGTGAGTCTCACAACTCCACCTTAAAAATGACCGTCGTTAACAGCATGTTGAATAACTCGATTAGCGATATCTCAGCCAAATTCCAATTCTTCATCTTACCTTACACATAACGTAAGATCACTTGGAGTTTTTTTTTTGTGCAAATTGAGTATAATTTCCGTAATCAGCATGCCAGATTACTTCAACGAGCTCTACAAACCATTAGCTATTACAATTTCTAGTGTTTTATAAAGTCTGGAAAGCGTGACTTCCAAACATGATTAACCTAGTCACAAAAGTGAAAAAAGTCAGGTTTTTGCATTCATAACGAGGTATTACTCTTTACTAGTCTAAGGTAGAAAATGGACCTCATATCGCTATCAATAATGGATTAAAAAGCGATGCCAAGTTGTTAGTCACCGCGTTTTCTACCTCAAGTGCTTCAACTCCACCTACCACAAAGCCAAAACAAGTCGAGGTAAGCTCAAACACCTATTATAGAATGTTCGAGGTTTATCTAGCGAATCATATAAAACTAAAGTGAAAAAGCTTTTTCAGTGAAAGAACAGAATTAATCGGGTCAGACGCGACCCTTCGAAAGGTCAGGCTGTGACCCCCTTAACTTGCTTTCAACACCCAGAAACAGCTCCATTCCTGGAATGAGTATTAAGCTCATAGCTTCTCGCTACGGTAGAAATTTGGAGCCGAACGCCCCGCCTCTAGATAAGATATGGCCTTTTCAATAGGGAAGAAAATCTTAAACATTCCCATGTGTTCTCTTCTTTGAACCTGGGCATTTTCGTTGATCGTTGTGTAGGATTTTCTTATGCCGAAATTAGGTTAATTGGTGGACCTTTATTGACTCAACGTTTCGAACAATTCGTCTTCGTCAGGAGTCTGAAAAGGATCGTAGGTATTCATACTTTCACTATACCGCCAAACGTCCCGTCAAACGCTGCCCGTTAGACCTTCCCTGGTGCAATGTACTGAAAAGCACGGGCCCCGGCGGGTGTCATAGGCTACTTTTCGTCATCGATCGATATTGATTTTATCGATTTTTTGCAAAATTTGAGCTAGGGGGCTGGAATTTGGCAGGGGGGTGTAATCGAGCATGCTGATCACCCCCAAGGGGGTGATCAGCATGCTCGATTACCCCCCTGTGCCAACTCCCAGCCCCGTAGCTCAAATTTTGCAAAAAATCGATAAAATCGACATCGATCGATAACGAAAAGTGGACTGTGACACCCGCCGGGGCCCGAAGTGTATGTGTGCCAAGTTGGTCCGGATCGGTTAAGAAATGGAATTTTCTATTCGGAACATACGGCGGAGCCGGGTAAGCCAGCTACTCAGATAACCGCCGGGGGCAGGCGGCCATGCGAATTTTGAGCAAGCGCGCACCGGAAAAATAGTTCGTTGATTTTTTGCCGCCCGCTTGCGGAAATTTGGAAGAAAGTTGGCGAAATTAAAGACGAATGCTTGAAGAACAATCGCGGTTTTTTTTATGGATTAGCTGCGGCGCAATGGCCGCATTCTCGCGGACTTTCCGCGAGAATATGCAAAAAATTTCGGGGGCCGCACAGTCCTTTGTGGAGGACCGCGCAACCCCCAGGTACTTTCCGCTGGGAGAAAGTACCTCAAACTTGAGTAATCAAACCAACAGTGACACCTCTGCCACACAGAGTCTTACCTGCGCTCGACGTACGCCCGAAAATACCTAAAAAGAGTCCGAGCGCTTGCTGAAAGTTTGGCCAGCGCTCGCTGGAAGATATTATTTGACGAGCGCTCGCAGAAAATTCTGTGTTGCTGCCCGCTGGCAGAACGCGGAAGTACCGCCCGCTGAAGGTTTGGCCACGCCCCAAAATTCTGCTGACCGCCTGCAGAAACGCGCGAGTTTGCGGACCGCCTGCCCCCGGCGATTATCTGAGTAGGTGCGATGGGGTGAGCCGCTCAGGCAACCGCCGGGGCAGGCGGGCACCGGAAAAATAGATGGCTGATTTCTCGCACCCCGCCCGCGGAATTTTTGGAAAGCAATTAGGACTTTTCGGAAGAGCGCTTGCTGAGTTCTCGATTCCTCAAAGATTCAGCAATATATCTGCAAAAGATAAGAGCGAAAAAAAATCAACAAGCGGTCTCTCAAAAACTCGCTGATCGTTTTCCTGGAATTTGCGAGCGGAGTGCGAAATTTCAGCAATGCGTATTTTCCGGCGCCCGCCTGCCTCCGGCGATTATCTGAGCGGGTACCCTTCAAGATGAAGGGTGTCTCGGCTGATTTTCACCCTCAAAAGTGAAGGTGAGGGGGGGGGAGAAATTGAAAAAAAATTTGCAGACGTCGACCTGGGGGGGGGGAGAGGGGGGAGGAGAGAATAAAAATGGTGAAGAACGCAAAATTATGAAATTTAAATAATTAAATCTTCTAAATTGGATTTGTATAAATTTTTATATAATTAATAAAATGTTTACAAATACTTTGTTTTGATTAATATAAGCCATTTTGTTGTTATATAACATTTTTCGGCGAAAAATTCATGTTTAGGTGGATCGAACGTGTAATGTTGTAAATATGATTTCGACCAAAATTACATGGGCAATGAACGCTGCAGATGCTCAGAGGCTTAGAAGATGCTGAAAGAAGTTTTACTTGAAACTTACATATGTGGATAATGTTACTAAGAGAGTTCGCGATGATTATAAAATTACTAGCTGGCTTACCCGGCTCCGCCCTGCCCTGTCAAGACACTACGATAAAGGTCCTTCGATAAAGGTCATTCGGTCGATAAAGGTCATTCGCTATGTTGAATCCGGAAATCCACATTGGAGAGCGCGAAAACGACGAAAAAGGGCTCTAATACTGGAGGACAATCAGCAAGTGGGCGGGGTCTTCCCCACGGTGAATTCACACTCCCAGCTTCGGGGACGATCTTTTTGATTCCAGTTAGAAGTCATTCGTTTGCACTTGATCGGTAGTAATGTCAGGGCGGCTAACAGATTCGAGAAAATTGTAGGAAAAGCGACGGCAAACAGAGCCGCCGCCGAAGATTTACGACTCGACTCGGAGGAGGAGCCACGCGAGGATTTCTCGATGCCAAGCAGTTAGCCAGTAGATAGTTAAATCTTATCGCTTGTAGCCGCCTATCTATATCCGCTTGTGTGTGCCATGCTTCTATTGCTACTACAATAAACCTTACATATGCCTCCTAGTGTCTGGTTCAAATGGCCAATTGTCTCGGACCTAGGTGAGGGGTCTAGCGCAACAGTACAGTAATCCTTAAGACTGGGAAAACTACGGAACGCAGCATAATTTTATAACAAAATTGCTCGGGAAGCTGGAAGCGTGATTTCACACTGGGGAAGACCCCGCCCACTTGCTGATTTCCCTCCAGTGTTAGAGCCCTTTTTCGTCGTTTTCGCGCCCTCCAATGTGGATTTTCGGATTCAGCATAGCGAATAGGCCCGAGTAAGCACAAAATCTCAAAATCGAGTTTTTGCCCGGACACTGCTTTAATGACAACAATGGACTCTTATGTGATATGTGAGATCGAACTGCATACTAGGGCTAAAGAAGAAAAGACGTGGAAAATGAAAAGCGGACAGGAGCACCCAAAGTAGTAAATTCTGATGATTTTGCGCTCCTGTAACAAAAAGCGGCCAGCGGCGGCTACGGGCTGCTACGGGCTGCTACGGGCTGCTGGAGGGTACTACGGGCTGCTACGGGCAGCTAGCGGTGGCTGCCGGCGCGGTGTAAAGGCACCCTGAAGCCATCCAAGCTAGATTTTGATATAAGCGGATTTAATGGAAGGCGGAACTGAGAAATAAATTTTGATTGGCGGCTTTCTGTTCAGTTGTTTTGAAATTGTTCGACTTTCTGAGCACCATTCCAAGCAACAAACGTTGAGATCATTGAACAAACAGGCTTTCTTGAACTCTTTGTACTATGGCTTCCCTAAAGAAACGAAGATCACCTCAAGCGCCTTGATGAACGGATCATCCACAGAGAAGTTGACTGCGCACAATGCGTTAATCCTGTGCGTTTCATCGCTGTCCATAATCAATGCCCTGAAATGAGAGAAAACACAAACACAATTGTTCTTCTGCACAAAAATCTATGGTTATATATTGCGGAGGACTGCGTTAAATAAAAGGGTGCGCTACTTGCCTATTAGGGCCAAATCAAGAGCACGGATTCAAACCGTGACATGCAACAAAAATGGTATCGTCGATTCGTTGGCCGTACGGACTGCTCAACCGCTGCGGACCACGCGCGGCGCGGTTAAAATGTTGCGAGAGCACGATTTTAACAATGGCGAGTTTGTACTGGAGCAAGCGTTTTACCTCGCGGCGCGTGCTCCGCGGTTATGTCCAATCCGTACAGTCAACGAATCGACGATATATGGTCCACGAAGCAGTGGCTTCAAAATAAGAGGTCAAATTCCCAGACTTCGCTTATGTATCGCGATAGAGGTGACTAACATGCTGGTCACAAATCCTCGTTGAAGGCACCGTTCACCCAAAACCAATGGTGGTGAGAATTAATGCAGTATGATAGCTGGCTGCTAACTAATATAACAAGGTAACGATGCCGAGTGACAGTGGCCTTTTAAGACGAGATATACGACAGCAAACGTTTTTTGATACGCTGAGCCCATATCCGTATTCGGTTTTGCACTTATGTAAGGGCACAAGGCTTACCATAGGCAATTTCAGTCGCTGATGGCGCGCAACAACTCTCCATCATTGGGCGTAAAAAGGTTTTTGCTGAGGCAGGATTTGATGAATATGTGACAATACACAAAAGCTATAGCGCATTCGAAAAATCGTGACGATGGAACGACCGCGCGCGACACCCACTCATTTCCGGCAACCACATTTTCTAGGTTTTCATCTCTACTTCACTGGTCTTTCTGCTTACCTATGATAGTATCTAGAACGCCCATAATCGGCCGCGGAACTGGTGGGGAAACTGAGCCGCGCCCCAGGCTAATCGATTGGAGCACGTTATCTTCTCGATCCGCGCACATAGCAAGCAAAGTGAATACGATGACTCCGAAAGGACAACGTCTTTGCTTTTACTCCCCACAGGATTTCTAGTACCATCTCAGTTATTGACTAGTCATAACTTAGGAAGTTCTGTAACAAGTTTACAGCTTACCGAGCTCGAGCGAATCATGACACTTAGTTTGAGTTTGTGGTGCTGTTAGCGTTGAGAAGTTCTTGTGGAGCTTACTACTTTTCTACATAACTTTTACAGATAAAAGCACAGTCTAAAGGCAAAAGGCATAAGAGCGTTGAGAAGGGCCAGCGCTTGTACCTGAGTAAAAAATCGCTGCAATCCGTGAACTGAGCTTAGTTTATAGCTTAAACATCCAGTCCTAATTCAGCATCAGTCCCACAGTTGATCGAGAAATCAAAATGGAACACACTTTACGATGCTGTAAAAATGAGGTTCTGGTGAATGTTTATCTTGCAAAGTTCTACATGTTATCTTATATATAAAGCTGAATGTCTGTTTGTATGTCTGTCTGTATGTATGTATGTACGTATGTTCCGAATAGAAAATTCCATTTCTGAACCGATCCGGACCAAACTTGGCACACATACACTACGGGCCCCGGCGGGTGTCATAGGCTACTTTTCGTCATCGATCGATATCGATTTTATCGATTTTTATCGATTTTTTTGCTGAGTTCACCTACGGGGCTGGGAGTTGGCACAGGGGGTAATCGAGCATGGGGATTCCGAATACAATATTGGCTTTCAGGATTATCGATTACTTTTATCGATTTTATCGATTTTTTTGCAAAGTTTGAGCTACGGGGCTGGGAGTTGGCACAGGGGGGTAATCGAGCATGGGGATTCCGAATACAATATTGGTTTTCAGGATTATCGATTACTTTTATCGATTTTATCGATTTTTTGCAAAGTTTGAGCTACGGGGCTGGGAGTTGGCACAGGGGGGTAATCGAGCATGGGGATTCCGAATACAATATTGGTTTTCGAGATTATCGATTACTTTTATCGATTTTATCGATTTTTTTGCAAAGTTTGAACTAGGGGGCTGGGAGTTGGCACAGGGGGTAATCGAGCATGCTGATCATCCCCAAGGGGGGTGATCAGCATGCTCGATTACACCCCTGTGCCAAATTCCAGCCCCCTAGCTCAAATTTTCAAAAAATCGATAAAATCGATAAAAGTAATGGACGATCTTGAAAACTAATATTGTATTCGTAATCTGCATGCTCGATTACCCCCTGTGCAAACTCCCAGCCCCGCAGGTCAAACTTTACAAAAAAATCGATAAAATCGATAAAAGTAATGGACGATCCTGAAAACTAATTTTGTGTTCGTAATCAGCATGCTCGATTACCCCCCTGTGCAAAATCCCAGCCTCGCATGTCAAAATTTACAAAAAATCGATAAAATCAATAAAAGTAATCGATAATTCTGAAAACTAATATTGTATTCGGAATCCCCATGCTCACTTCCCCCCTGTGCCAACTCCTAGCCCTGTAGGTGAACTCTGCAAAAAAATGGATAAAAATCGGTAAAATCGACATCGATCGATAACGAAAAGTGGACTGTGACACCCGCCGGGGCCCGAAGTGTATGTGTGCCAAGTTTGGTCCGGATACGGCGGAGCCAGGTAAGCCAGCTAGTGACTTTATAAATGTTTGCCGGATTTGGAAAAGCTTTTGAAGAACATGTTTATCGAGTACACCATGACATATTTGAATACAGCAAGCACCTAGTACAGAATCGAACAAAAACATCGAGAAATCCGATCCGGATCCTATGTTTATCTCTAACATATCTTGAAGAGTTATATGTGTTGGCAGTTTCCGACTTTTCTAATAGCTAGTCAGTCAAAATAAGATAGCTAACTGATCGTGAGTAAGGATCCCCATCAGAACCTTTCCACATTGGAGTCCACATTGGAGGTTGATAAATCACCAAATCTGCTTTGTGACTAGCGCCAGTACAGACGCTTGCAGCTGATGCATGACTACTACAGATTCTACATTCCTCGCCTAATGGCAACTGCGTGCCTGAGCAAATGAGCACGCCGGTACTGCAGGCCAATGACCCTGCAGCACTGGCTTGCTCAATTTTTTTACTCTATGCTAAAATCGCCCTTGAAGATTTTACTCCGAGTTGCAAAGAAAATGCGGAAAAATATATGTTACACCACTTCTATGTTACGAAATTTTGAAGTGGCAACTGCCATTGACCGATCTAAAATGGTACCAGATGATGGTAAAAAAAACTATCTGAAAAGAAGATGTAAGCCTCGCAACGGCGACGATTCTACGACGCTACAGCGCAACCTCCTTTTTGAGGAAGAGGTGATCTATACCCAACCTTATGCAACTCAAAGCGATGCTATGAGGCTGCGACAAACGCAGCATTCTGCTTTTATAATCTCTGAAGAACGAACAAGACTGCTGAAGCGCATAACAGCCATTTATAAAGTTTTTCGAAGCTTTTGACTATGCAAAATGGTCAAAACAAGCTGAAGTCCGCTACAATGTGCATACTCCGAAGTGATCAGTCACTAACCTCACTGTGCTGTAGTGTTGCCGCACCAATACAGACAATGAGAAATTAATATGAAGCTGGTATGTCCAGATATACTTCAAGTGCGCGAAGGTTAACATGCTCCAATCGATTAGCGCTGGGGCGCGGCTCAGTTTCCCCACCAGTTCCGCGGCCGATTATGGACGTTCTAGTATCTAGACACTGGAGGTGACTGAGCTGAGCGTTAAAGGCAGCGTTCAAGCAGATCTGGAGCTGTGGGAATTCTATACTGAAATTAATTTTGGGGCCATAACTAGGGCACTGCCCAAGCGGCAGCGCAGGTGACTCACTACGGCTAAGATATACGCCTCCAAACTGGACCCCAGGATCGTATTCGCATGGGTTCAAGGCAGTTTTGTGCGAGGACCCACGTGTTGCGCCATGCCATGCGAAATACGATCCAGGGGTCCAGTTTCGAGCGGAATATCTAAGCCGCCAGTGGCTTAGTTAGGGCCCCAAAATTACTATCGATGTGAGATATGTCCAGACTTGTCTGGACATATGGGAATCTCACTTGAACAGTAATTTTGGGACCCCATAAAAGACACCGCAGACCGGATGAAAGACCGGCAGCTCCGATGGTGTTCTAACGGTTGAGATATTCGCCTCCAAACAGGACCCCAGGGTCGTATTTCGATGGATTTATGGCGCGACACAACAGTTTCGCTGGGTCCTCGAGCGAAAGTAGAACACGATGCAAGTCGTCCGGTAGTACGATCTCAGCCGTTACTGAGTCATTTGCGCTATCCCCTTCGGCCGTGCCTTAGTTAGGGCCCCAAAACTTTCTACTAAAATCCCCATAGGGCCAGATTTGCCTGGACGCTACGTGATGACTTTTTGTACGAGTTTTATGCTAATATGGGCGCAGAGGCCGCAGTCAAGTCATCGTCCCGATTTTATATATGACTTACATTCGCCTATGCATAAAAGAGTTGACACGGTAGATCTGTAAAGATCTGGCAGAATGCTAAGCCGCAAAGTTTTAGCGGTTTGATGGAATCGCTAGAGGTACAGTCGAATCATTTCGTGTGACCATGTGTGACATTGCACACACTGTTTACCTTTGGAGTTCCCATCCTGGATCGTGGAGAGGCAATCCTTCAGGCAGGTGTTTTCGATGTGTTTTCAATGTTTCGTTTCCTTTTTAGGTACTATTCACCATAAAATGATGTAAGCGATAGCATTCGGTCAATCTCCTGCCTTTTGCGATTGCAAAGCTAGGATGAGGACTCCAGAGATGGATTGTGCGGGTCTACCCATGACCATATGGAATGATTCGACTGTAAAGGTCTTGCAAAACGTACCTAATTTCACGCGTATAAGATGCGCCTTTTCCGGTTTTTCAAGGGTTCCGCTCAGCCGCTTCGTGAAAATAAGACTTATGCCACTCGTACCTATAGTTACAAATGGCTGCGAAGAGCGCGCCCCATGACCCAATGCAAATTTGACCGGCGCGCAGGACGTTTAGTGTCGGAGCGCGCAATGCAGGCACGGATGTCTACTATTTGAGCTACATAGGCTAACCAGTGGAGATCTTGATCGATGACAGATTATCAGTGTCATGGAACGAGCTGGGGAGGGCGTCGTAGAGCCAGCAGCAACAAGTTGACATGAAAGGCTAGAGATTGTATGATTGATCTTTTTCTGTAAACTTTTTGCATGACTTTCTTGTGTGACCTCCTTCTAATAGCAAGTTATGCAGCATGACTCCGTTTCTTGATGCTAAGGGTTGAAGACTTGTATGGGCCCGTACTTTTTGCTGTTGCTTGTGTTTTGAAGACAAAGCTGGTTTCCTTTTTTGCGTACTCGCAATGAGCAAATTCAGAACCCACATCTCGTTCTCTAGATTAAATGGACAGTATCTGCATGCTCTGAGGTAATCTATAACAACCATGAAAGGTGGACTCTCTGCTCAACAACTCAGGCTTTCTTCTCATCTGTCACAAAAATGAAGCTCAAAGAGGCCGGGTGTATAGCATTAGAACTTGTGAAGGAAGTTTTTTCAGTTCATTATACTGCATGCACAAAATTTTTGGTTATGACATAATGGAAAGCAGTTTTATCCTCAGTGCATCGCGATAGCTACCTAAGGCTTGAGATATACCTGACGATAGAGGTATAGCGGGTGTTGGCGAATCGCTGATGTCTGCGCTGCCTTTAGCTGCTCGTGGCTGCTGCGCTGGGTACGCGTTGGGTGCAAGAACGAGTAGCTTTACCCATTACTATGCTTAGCTTAGCCCATTAGGAAAGTAAGTTTTGAGAACTATCAAAAACTAAAGAATATGATTACGTGTTCCAAAAAAATCATCCTGTTCTCATCAACAAATCTTTTTAAGAAGCATACAGTTGCAAACCAAATGTTGCACTAGTACTGAGAAAATAATCATTACTATTATTTAAGCGGTGTCGCAATAGAATCTTGATTTGTGCTTGAGGCAAAAACCGAACGACCTAGGTCATAGCTGCCATTAATGTATTGAGGTGTATTGGTAACATCCCACTAAATCGTAAATTTTCTAATTTTTTGTTAATCCAATTTGATTCTTCGCAGAAGTTTTGTGCGGTTTTCATATTTATTTGTTCGTTCACTTTGTCAATTCTCTGTTAATTTTCCTATCGAAGCATTTGCGTTTTGGTCTTGCAAATTTGTCACAGTTCAGTAACGCAACAAGCGCTCTAAAAATCCTTCAGAAGTTCAAAAGGATGTTAAAAACGGGCAAATCCGAGCAAAATCAGCGCTAGCAGCTTGAAGCAGCTGAGAGAAGCTCACCAAAAGCGAGCTTCATATCGCGTAGCAGCGAGGAGCAGCTACGAGCAGCAAGCAGCAGCGCAGAGCAGCGCAGCATCTCCAGCTATAGCGGGTCTGTATCGCGTTCGCTGCAGCAGCCAGAAGCAGCAGCGTTGCATGGCGTCAATCGATACGCATAAAAGGCGTTGCTGCTGGCAGCGTCTTATCGTCAGCTATAGCGACCCATCGTCAAGTATATCTCAAGCCTAAGGAACCGGCCATACTATTCCAGGAGGTGACTGTGATTCCTGTGATTCCTGTATTTCCTGTGATTCCTCGACTTCCGATATGCCGCACTACGGATCGCTTTGCGAATTTCAGTATACATTTTTTTCGCAATATACATTGTTGCGGGACCCACGGGAACCACAAGAATCGCACGAATTGCAGGAATTACAGGAATAGTATGGCCGTCCCTAAGGAATGCGCTCAGATGAGGAGTGCGAGGCAAAGAAGCGAGAGATATCTGAACCACATACTTCTCACAGGCCGTACTTGTGCTTTTGTACACTTGTCCACCCATCAGATATGAACAAACACCAAGTACCAAAAACTGAGTGATAAGTAGTAAAGTGGAAAGCGTGATAGCACCCTAACTGAGCTGGAAGCCTAAATAAGCTGCCGAAATTGACGTATACAGTAATTTCCCCGAACAGTTAAGCTATCAAAATCCATCTAAACTTACAATGCTCACCCGTAGGCTACTATCCATTCTGGGAATAGAAAACTCGAAGACGCTTTGTATCTACAAGTTTTCTAAACATGCTCGGACTTTTTTATCCAAGTAGTCTATCATCAAAAATGAGATATGTCAAAAATACTTTTGAAACTGAAACGTTCTTGAGCCTCCTAGTCTCAGAGCGGATGATACTTACCTCTTGACACTTGGATCTGCAGCTTTCTTCTTCTTATGGCTGCCGTAAAAGAAACAAGTTCGTTAGAAAGCTCCTCTCTGTTTAAACACAAACAAATCGTAATTTTCTTATCCATGTTAAGTTCTTGAGATACCATATCAATGAAAAACGATCTAAATGGCAAGAGATGAAAGGTGAATCATCGCACGTTAACAACTGCACTTGTTCTTGTGATTCTCCTGCAGAAAAGAGCCGTTTTTCCTTCAGTGTCACTTATTTCGCGTTGAAAGTTATAGGGTCTGCGCGCTTAACCGCCAGGGTTCCCGTGCGGAAGACAGATTTGCACTGGGACACGGGGCGCGCTCTTCGCAGCCATTTGTAACTATAGGTACGAGTACTTATGCCGCACGATTTTCTCAGCCAACATGCAGCACTGTAAATAGTTTTTTAGTCGCGAAGTCCTTCGGCTTGTCTGTGCTGGTCGATTTTAGAAAAAAAAATCTCCGCGTCTTAAACGCGTGAAATTAGGGTGACTGCTTGCCCCGTGCTGTGTATAGCGTAGGCGAGCGGTCGTCGCGAACGACTGCAAGCGTTCCGTATTTTCAAAGAAATTTTCCCCTCAATTTCCATGTTTTCAACTATGTAAAGTATATCTTGACGAAAACTTCTTTCAAAAACCGAAAAGATATGTGTGAAAGGGGTGCGCGCTCACTGTCGCCTGTAACAAGCCTATAGCGCTTCGGGACTCAACGTCTTCGCCACCTCGCGCGCTGATGTTCAAAGCGACGCGTGGGCGATTGGATTTTGCAAAGCAAGCACGCCTAGAGCCTGAGGAGTTATGGGCGTTTCTCCCTCTCACGCTTAAGATAAGTGCGCCCTTGCAAGCACGGCCAGCGACAACGTTGTGGCCTACTGGATAGTCTGCTAACCTGGGGATCTGATGCACTTTCGGGTGCGGTTTCTCCTACCGGTACAACTTTTGCTGACGTTCCTCTTTCTGAATCTTATATATAAAGCTGAATGTCTGTTTGTCTGTATGTCTGTCTGTCTGTCTGTCTGTCTGTATGTATGTCTGTGTGTACGTATGTTCCGAATAGAAAATTCCATTTCTGAACCGATCCGGACCAAACTTGGCACACATACACTACGGGCCCCGGCGGGTGTCATAGGCTACTTTTCGTCATCGATCGATATCGATTTTATCGATTTTTATCGATTTTTTTGCTGAGTTCACCTACGGGGCTGGGAGTTGGCAAAGGGGGGTAATCGAGCATGGGGATTCCGAATACAATATTTGTTTTCAGGATTATCGATTACTTTTATCGATTTTATCGATTTTTTTGCAAAGTTTGAGCTACGGGGCTGGGAGTTGGCACAGGGGGGTAATCGAGCATGGGGATTCCGAATACAATATTGGTTTTCAGGATTACCGATTACTTTTATCGATTTTATCGATTTTTTGCAAAGTTTGAGCTACGGGGCTGGGAGTTGGCACAGGGGGGTAATCGAGCATGGGGATTCCGAATACAATATTGGTTTTCAGGATTATCGATTACTTTTATCGATTTTATCGATTTTTTTGCAAAGTTTGAGCTACGGGGCTGGGAGTTCGCACAGAGGGGTAATCGAGCATGGGGATTCCGAATACAATATTGGTTTTCGGGATTATCGATTACTATTATCGATTTTATCGATTTTTTTGCAAAGTTTGAGCTACGGGGCTGGGAGTTGGCACATGGGGGTAATCGAGCATGGGGATTCCGAATACAATATTGGTTTTCAGGATTATCGATTACTTTTATCGATTTTATCGATTTTTTTGCAAAGTTTGAGCTAGGGGGCTGGGAGTTGGTACAGGGGGGTAATCGAGCATGCTGATCATCCCCAAGGGGGTGATCAGCATGCTCGATTACACTCCTGTGCCAAATTCCAGCCCCCTAGCTCAAATTTTCAAAAAATCGATAAAATCGAAAAAGTAATGGACGATCCTGAAAACTAATATTGTGTTCGTAATCTGCATGCTCGATTACCCCCCTGTGCAAACTCCCAGCCCCGCAGGTCAAACTTTACAAAAAAAATCGATAAAATCGATAAAAGTAATGGACGATCCTGAAAACTAATATTGTGTTCGTAATCAGCATGCTCAATTACCCCCCTGTGCAAACTCCCAGCCCCGCATGTCAAAATTTACAAAAAATCGATAAAATCGATAAAAGTAATGGACGATCCTGAAAACTAATGTTGTATTCGGAATCCCCATGCTCACTTCGCCCCCTGTGCCAACTCCTAGCCCTGTAAGTGAACTCTGCAAAAAAATCGATAAAAATCGGTAAAATCGACATCGATCGATAACGAAAAGTGGACTGTGACACCCGCCAGGGCCCGAAGTGTATGTGTGCCAAGTTTGGTCCGGATACGGCGGAGCCGGGTAAGCCAGCTAGTACAATATAAATCCACGCTCCGGCCAAGTCCCTTTTTTATCCTGCCAGAAATGCTTTCTGCCCAAATCCAACTACTTTTCCTGTGAAGCAAAATCAAGAGGAAGCAAATTTGTGTTACGCGCAGATGGTCTGTCCGATCATCACGGATTGACTACAACATGGAAGGTAAGAAAGTCTGCGACATTAGAAGACTAGTATCCAAAGTTGGAACTCAAAGGTACATCAGAACCGTAGTGTAACACACTATCCGATAGGCCACCCATCAAAGGCAGGTCTGAACAAGGTGGGGGTTCTGGGAATTCAGTGTTATGCGAAAGTGGGTCCCTCGGACACAATCGTGTAAGTGCGAAGCCATAACGTTTGACCCCAACCAAGAAATATGGTTGGAAAGCTGGGAAGCTGACGCCCTGGGGCTTGGCTCTCCACCTGTTTCCCCGCTCTGCGGCAGAGTACATGCCGCCACAGTTCAATTCATAGGGTCCAGCGACTCTGCGTCTCAGCCTTGGCGGACACTCTTTCATTCGTCGAAACTCAAATTGTAAAGCTTTGGGAACTCATGTTCTCGCCGTTTTGGCGCTTACTAACGAGGATTTCCGATTCAGCGTTGCGGATAACCCAAGCAGGTGAGTTTGGTAAAAATCGAATTTTTGTCCGGACGCTGCCTCTAATGGGGGAGACGAATACCTCAGTTAGGCACCGCCGCCGCGGATTGCTGATGCCTTCGCTCTATTGTACATCGTTTCAGGCCAATAGTCCGCGGAGGCGGTGCCTATTTGAGGTGTTCGTCCCTCTACCCGCTCTAATGCTAAGCCAAAACATGCAGCTGGCCGTCTGACGGCAAAAGGAGATCGCGAAATCGCGTGAGGTACGTTCTCGGCCTTAGACGCATCATAGCTCAGATAATCGCCGGGGAGCTCAATCGCCGGGGGCAGGCGGTCCGTAAACTCGCGCATTTCTGCAAGCAGTCAGCAAAATTTTGGAGCTGCCAAACCTTCAGCGAGCGGGTACTTCTGTGTTTTGCCAGCGTGCAGCAATAGAGACCGTCCGCGCTGTGCTTGGAGAGCAACGCTGTTGCGTCCATTCGAGGCAATTCATGACTAGAGGAGGCGCAGAGAAAACAGGCAGCGAGAGTGTACGAAGGAAGAGAAGTGACGCGCAATACACACCTTACACCGCGCAATACATACAATACACACCTTGCGCACTTTCCGCACCCTGCGCGGACGGCCTATACAAGATTTTCTACAAGCGCTCGTCAAATAACCTCTTTCAGCGAGCGCAGGGCAAAATTTCAGCAAGCGCTCGAACTCTTTTTCGTAAAAGAGTCAGAGCGAGTTTACGGACCGAGTAAGCGCGAGTTTATGGACCGCCTGCCCCCGGCGATTGAGCTCCCCGGCGATTATCTGAGCTTATCTGGCCAGACTAGATCCACTGCCGTCTGGTTTTCTGGTCGCTAGGCGGTGTTCTCCCCGCTCCAAGCCCGGGATCAGCGATCGCCCTGTGGAAATCAAGAGTAGGTGTAGTAAGTCTGCTCTTGTAGGGGAACAAATCTTACTACTCCGTCAGCAAAAAGATATAGGAAGAACCCTGTACATCGGACCTTGCCTACGACGACGAGTGGTAGCAAGAACGATGTCAGGATTCTTAGGGCGCCTTTTGGATCGGCAAAAACGACAAATCTGCATAGACGACACGTCATGTAGACTGCCTCATTGCCTCATGCTCTGCACCTACAACGCCAGGACAGTCTCCACAAACGCCGACCTTCACGCTCTTCTCACGCTGCAACATCAAGTACCATGTTATCGCTCTGCAGGAAACTCCAGGAAGAAGGAAGTGCGACAGATGATTGATAGGACACTCATCATCCGTGGTGAGAAGGTTACATCACGAAACTTTGGAGGCGTTAGCTTTGTCGTCCACCCTCAATCGCCCATCTTGTCGATTCGCGAGCAGAGGTGCGATAGGTGGAGCCGGGCCCCCCAAAAGTGAAGGTGGTTCCAGCTACCACTGGCCGCCAAAAGTGAAGGTGGTACTGCCGGACACTCACCTCCCAAAAACGTCGACCGGGGGGGGGGGGGGCAGAGCATTAACTTCTTTCAGGTCGTTGCCGCCAGTGCGCGGAAAACAAGTAGAACAAATGCAAAAGAAACCATTGAAAGCATATTTTTTGTATACAGCGTCATATATCAAATAGTGTATTTGTAAGTGAAACTCAGCGGAACTGTACGTATTTTATTAATTTGATTTTGTTATAACGTACTGCGAAGAAAGTAAATCGATCCAGGCAGTAACGGCCGAGAACCAGAATTTTGAATAATTGAATAGTGAAAAATCATGCAAAATTTCCACTGTCATAAATCTGTTGTTTGAAGATGTCAGCAGTTGCGACTTCATAGGTTTTGAAGAGTAAATGGTGCTCTATCAGCTAGTGAAAGAATCGAGTGGATTTGAGAGATAGTCGTTGAAAACCAGAATTCTAAAAATCTACGCCATTTTTGCGTGTTTTTTGACAGTTGACAGTCAAACTCATATAAATCTAGAATGTGAAAGTGTGTGATGTTGCGACTTCATAGGTTTTGTAGAGCAAGAATTTCTCTATCGGAGTATATCTTAGCCGTACCGATCCATTGAGATACCGCCGAGATCCAGGGTCTTG